GCGCCTCTGAAGCAGGGGGGAGGGAGGGAAAGTGTCGAAGATGAGAGTCGTGCGCCTCTGAAGCAGGAAGGAGGGGAGGGGGTGAGAGTCGGGCGCCCCTGAAGCAGGGGGAAAGAGGGGTGAGAGTCGAAGGTGAAAGTTATGCGCATATACATATATGTATATATTTAAAAAATATATGTATATATATTATCTTGCCGAATTCTTATTTCAAAAGAATATATAATTTTGACGAAAGAATTGATACCTTTTTTGAAATTATAAGTATGATGCATCCATTAGATGCTTTAAATATTGAATAAAACTATATCGAAATAAGACATTTTTGAAACTTTGATTATTAATAACTTTTTCACGAGAAGGGCGAGCGACGGCTAAAACCTGTTGGAGGTCACTCAGTCATGACCTCGACAATATATGTCAAGGTCAAGATCATTGGAGGGGGGTCCTCTAATCGGTACTTTTACCTAAAATTATACATCAAAGTAGCAATTGTTTCATTCATCAGAAATGATTAACATGAAACCATTACAGATACGCAAAAACGGTAAACAGCATATTCAACCAAGTACTTTTCGTTCAGTTTTTTAGTAGTATACTGGTATTATGTACGTGTGTGTATTATTTGTCAATACATATCCAGGAACTGTCTGCGGCTGCATCCTTATTAGCATATACCATTTGCATGTTTGTACAAATCTTCGTTTACTGCTGGTCCGGAAACGAAGTCATGCTTAAAGTAACTATCATGTACGCTATAATCCACATGAAATAGATAGGTACCGATTTTTTGAGTTAATGGAAAATGGCGGGTATTTTTTTAAATAACCTATTTTTTTTACAAGAGTTTGCAAAATAATCTAACAAATTATTTGTCCACAACAAATTTGAATTATTTTATATTTGAATACAATAAGAAGATATATAATATATACATGCGCGTGTATAAAACTATAATAATATTATTATGATTGTTCGATATTATTATGTAATAATAACTCTATTTATATTATGTTAATAGAGTATGAGTATAGCGGATGCTATATATCGTATGAATTGGCCATTACTATCGATCAACGAAAAAAAAGGACTGTTGATGATCATGATACGTAGTACAATTCCTGTAAAGTTCACTAGCAGCTTCTTGATAACTTTATCCCTTCAGTCTTACAGTAACGTTAGTATCGTTTAGTGTCAAAATAAATATTTGATATAGTATGTCAAATAAATGAAGATTCGCTATTTGATATTAAGAATATTTGTTATATATGTACGAAAATACAGTCGGAATTTTTCATAATAAATGCATAATCTTCCATGTATGTCAATGTTTTTTCTATTTTTCTTTCAGATCTTGAAAACGTCATATTCAGCATTTAACGTTTTACAAAAGTAAAGTCTAATAAATAACAAAAAATGTGTTTAAATATGATAAAGATGTAGTTTTTGATAAATTAGCGACTTTAAATCTTATAACTTTTACTTACGTATTTATTTCCGGCCTTGTTCCTTACACCAATTATTCGAATACTAGCACACGCAGATAAACACACACATGCACGCACGCACATACTAATAGCGTTTTCGGCCCGATCGGGTTTGCACCAACCTGGGTTGGATTAATCTTTCCTATTGGTTGACATCACCTGCTCTACCAATAGGAGAGCACAAAACGCCATTAATCCAACCCAGGTTAGTGCAAACCTGGCCGGGCCGAAAACGCTATAAATATATACATGTAACACATGAAATACATCCAATAATGTGTTTCATATGCAAGCAGAAATCGTTTTGAATCAGATGTTAGATGAATATAAAAATTTTAACCTGTTTTTGTACGTTACATTCTTTGCGAGCGCACTAGAAATAATTGACACTTTTCTAACTCATTTATCGTACTTATGTAAGCAAATGTATGAACAGAATTAAGATAAAAAATATTTAGATACATTATGCGTTACTTTTTTCGTTACAGTATCTTATACTTTTACACAATATAAGACAAATTTTTCGTAAACAGGAAATACAATCTAGCGATTAAATGCAGATTATATGAAAAAACATACAACATACAAACATTTTATTTGATAAAAACACGACTTCATGTTTACTAATAAACAATGACTTAGCGAGAAATGACTCATCAAATCGATTTCGAATCGACATCGATAAGATGATTTCGAAATTAATTCGATGCTAATTTGACGTCTAATTAGCAGTCATTTCTCGCTGGATAATGAATGGTTAATGAAGGCTATTATTGGTATTAAAGTTATAAGAATTTTACTGAAGCAAAGAAAACTATAGGTACTAATATATATATAATTTACCGCGAAATATATATTCGATTCATTACACATTCAGTAATTAGAATTTAATTATCTTTTTACACGATAAAGAAGTAAATTATAGTGACTTTTATAATATCTAACAATCTAGGTGCTATGTGTTTTATTCTTGTATCTTGATATTATGCACAAGTATATTTTACATGTCGACGACACATATTTCTGAGTTCAGAATTGCGACTTTGCTGATATACATTTGTATGTCATACAATGTTCGTATAAAATTATATTTATTGATGGACCGTAAACGAAATCATGATCAATTCTCAAGGTAAATAACTATATTCCGTAACCTCTTCTCATAAATATATAGTAAATATAACAGATAAATCGAATATAATATTAATTATTTATGATTGTGTCAATATAGCAAACAAAGTGTTAATTTATATCCATAATCGACAAGATTATCGATTGCCCTCAAGTCTATCATTCGTCCTATGATTACGGAAATTATAACTGTCCTCTAAATTGCTGTTAGATATGTATGTATATATATATACAATGCATGTGTTTTATATGAACGTGATTTGGTCAATTAAAATCGATAGTAAAACAGTGAATCCAATAACTTGGAACGATTAGAAATATAAATTAAGTAATAGAAATCAATAGAGGGCCGCACAAATTGAGGATACGAATAAAATAACATACTCAGACACATACATGATTACAGCGTAAAAATATTGGTAAATTTCTTCTACATATAGTATAGATAAGAATACAACTATGAAAAATATAATATTTATCAAAAAAGTCTTATTGTTTCCTATTGTAACCTATGGTTTCACTTTTTATACTTCAAACGAAATATTATCGCTTCCTATTCTTTTCTATTATTATCTGATGAAAGCGGATTCAATTGTTGGAGTACGACAGAAATTTTACAGTAACTTATTTTTCTTTATCGTTTTAATGAAAATCAATGAATAACATATTAAAATTTGTTCTCGTAATCAATTATATATTTACAATAAAGGAATGTGAATGTATCTTATCTTACAAAAAAAATCTCATAGAAAATTATATATACACTTCAACTATCCTATACAATTTATATCTTTATTAAAATAAAAAATACGTTTATTTATAATTTTTAATTATTTTATATATTCGTTTTTAGAATTTAAATGACAATAATAATATATTGTACATTAAAGATATTTGTACTTCATGTAAACAAAATTTAAATTTGTATATTATAATATAAATTAATTCTCTTATGTCAGTACATGGATTTCATTTATGCATCTATTCTCGATAATACAATTATATATACATACCAGCTATACTACAAATTGAATTACTTTAAATAGAAAAAATCGACAAATATATCTATTAAATAAAAAATGTGACTCCACTTTAATTTCAGTAATTAAAACACTAAAATAGATAATGTAAAAAATAGGTATAATATCATTTGCCATACTCACAATATTTAATTCCTAATTAAATTCCTACATTAAAAAATCAATGCACAATTCGAAATATATATGTATGTATACGCGATTAATTAAATACATATGTATTTTCGCGAACACTTGCAATACTTTGAAGATATACAGAGAAGTATCTCGGGAAATATATCATACTTTAATTACACATTTTTATCGTCATACCGAGCCTTGCATTTTTATGTAATAAAATAAGAGACTTTGCGGAAAACATGATATTCTTTGTACTTCCAATGAAAATATGCAAATATTTTATTCAGTAGGGAACAATATGCATGACCGTGAAGGAGAACATCCCTCGATGGGTGGAAGTAAGAAAACTTTTACAGTTACGGTTACTATATTATTCATAACGACGGAAAAGAACATACTCCCCATAACGAATAATTAAAGCACTTCATGTCGATTTTTTAATAACTGTAATTGATGGTTCACAGGACGTTGAAAAATGTAAATCTATAATATCATACTTACATAGTCTATCGCAAGACGTGCTCGGTTACATTTAAGTGAAATTTAATGACACAATAATAAAATAATATATTACGTCAGTTAGTATTTGTTAATTTTCTTACCACTAGATAAAATTTTAAGAAGTGATACTTTCCGAAAAAGGTGCGCAATAAATATTTATAAATACTACTTTTGTAGTCGCGTATTCCTATAAAGTATAAATCATGAACTATACTTACTGCAATTAAATAAAATCATCCGATTCGCAATCAGCGATATTATTGGACACAATTTGTAAGTTAAATAAAATTGATTGGAAGCGGACAATCGCATTTAGTGTTCAGTGTGTGATTTAAACATTAATTTATAGAATCTACTAAAAGCGTAATCTATTTTATAAAATATATTACACTACATCCTAAATTAAATTCAACTTTTCTTAAACATAAATATATTCGAATTCAAATAATATATTTCAGAAAAGATAATTTTCAAAATATTTTAAACCACTTTTTTAGATACTTTACATATAGAAAGAAGCTATACTTTTGCACAATATTCGATAAGTTGTTTGGAAAAGAAGCGACCTAAATATGCAAATACTTTCTCTAAATTTTTTAATATACACCATTGGCGGTATATGGCGACCTGTTGAGTGGTCATCAAATGGCGCCAAGTTGCTGTATAATATATTTACCTTTATTATAATATCTTCGGAATATTTTTTTATGTTAACTCAATTTATGGACATAATTTTCGTTGTCAATAATGTCGATGATTTTGCCACTAATACTCTAGTATTTTTGAGCACTATTGTCGTTTGTTGTAAAACCACTGTTATTGTGGTACGTCGGAATGCGATCATTAACTTAGTGCAAGTATTGCTGAAAGTACCATACAAACCTCGAGACGAAGATGAAAAAGCAATACAAACAAAATTTGATAAATTCATCAGGTGAGTTCATATCTTCATTAAAATGTCCTGCACAAATTTAATTTCTTTGCGTTTAACATACTATTATTATATTGTCCAAAATCAGCACTGCTTATTTCTATAACAAATTATTGTAAGTGCTTTACCTTTTACTATGTCTTGTTGACCATATATTTCAAAAAATATTCTTATATTTTTTACATAAAAACTTAATAATTTTCTATTCTCTGTCTAATTAATCAATTTTTAGTTGAAGAAGTTTCCTATTTCAATATCATTTTAAATTACAGTAATAATTCACACAACACATATATAAACAAAAATCTAAAAAAAAGGCTTGAAAGAATCTATCAATAATAATAAAAATAGCAAGCCCATCAAAGCCAACATCAGTTGTTCGGATGCACAATTTATTTTCGTGTTAATTTAACCAATCATATCAAAAATTAATTCATATACGTTTCGACCCCTAATTTTTGGGTCCTTATCAATATAAACCTAAATCCGCTTATATAAGCAGAAATTAGGAGTCGAAACGTATATGAATTAATTTTTGATATGATTGGTTAAATTAACACGAAAATAAATTGTGCATCCGAACAACTGATGTTGGCTTTGATGGGCTTGCTTATTTTTATTATTATTGAGATAAACACACATATATATACAAGATAATTTTTTAAATATAATACAGTAATTATAAATCTTATGATTATAAATTTCATTATATTAAAAGCATAAATAAATGGTGATAAAAATTTATATAAAATTTCATCTCGGTTCTACGTTTGCAGATCGTGCTCGATAAAATACACACTTTTAGCAACAAGTTCCATTACAGGCGGTACAATAGGATCAGTACTAAAAGCGATGCAAGGTCATCTGCCTTATCGAATATGGCTGCCATGTAATTACAATATATCTACGATATTTTGGATTATATCTATTCATCAAATGGTAACTACAATTTTTGCCACCCTGATAAATGTTGGTACGGAAACCCTAGTCTTTGGATTGATTTTACAAACATGTGCCCAATTTGAAATATTGGAAAGTCGTCTTCACAAATTAATAATTAATAACACAGTTACATATCTGGGACATACCAGCTGTTTGTTGAATAAAAACAAAGCAAGTCTGTCGGAGTGCATACGTCATCATCTCAGCATTTACAAGTAGGTCCGATCTACAATTGCGTAAACGTAATTGTAAATGATGATAGTTGTAAAAATTGACCAATCACAATTACGTGTGAGAAGAATACCCGTATTATATATAAATACCTTAACAGATTGTATAAATCCTATAATATACCTAATGTAACTTATATATAAGTAATTTGTAAAATAACTTTCCTAATTATGCTCATACATGTAATGCAGAACTAACATAAAACTATTCCAGATACGCCAAAGCGGTAAACGTCATATTCAACCAAGTGCTCTTCGTTCAATTCTTTAGTAGTATACTAGTATTATGTACAAGTGTGTATTACTTGTCAATACATATTAAAGACCTTTCTGCAACTGCAACTTTTTTAGTGTATACCATTTGCATGTTTGTACAAATCTACTTTTACTGCTGGTCTGGAAACGAAGTTATACTTAAAGTAACTACCATATATACTCTATAATCCATTCAAAACTGTATGCATACAAAAAAGGTGTATTTTACTACTAATTTTGAGTCAACGTAATGCTACAAATGTTTTAAAGCGTTTTTGATTGGTCAATTTGTAAAATTCTTTCTTCTGATTGGTCCATCAAACGCTTCAAAGCATTTGTAGCGAAACTTTGATCACAAGCTTTGTGAGTTAATTGAAAATAATGGTGAACTAAGATTTTACAAGCTAATATAACAAATATGATTTATTCAACAAATTTAAACTATTCTGTACTCGATTGCGATATAGGAATATCCATTTTCTTACATATGAATTATATTTAATATAATGCACAAACGTGCGTGCACGCTCGTGTATAAGGTTATAATAATATCATTAAGATTATTTAATATTGTTATGTAATAATAACTCTATTTATATTATGTTAACAGAGTACGAGCATAGCAGACGCTATATATAATATGAATTGGCCATTATTATCAATCAATGAAAAAAAAGGATTGTTGATGATCATGATACGCAGTACAATTCCTGTAAAGTTCACAAGCAGCTTCTTGGTAACTTTATCCCTTCAGTCTTATACCAACGTTAGTATGATTTGGTGTCAAAATAAATATTTGACATAGTATGTCAAAAACATGAAGATATGCTGTTTGATATTATCGATATTTGTCGCGTACGTACAGTCGGAATATTCCACATAAATGTATAATCCTCTATGAATATCAATGTTTTTCTTATTTTTCTTTCAGATCCTGAAAACGTCATATTCAGCATTTAGTATTTTACAAAAGTAAAGTATTTATAATCAAAAGTATATATGAATACTGCAGTATTGAGTATAGTATAATTTTTAATGATATAATTTTTTTTAATACAGTTTTGATAAATTAGCTATTTTAAATCTTATAATTTTATTTACTCATGTATTTTTACTTCTAACATTATTCTTTGTTTCAATTATTCGAATATTGGTACACGCATGGACAGAGACGCACATACGCACATACATACTAAACGTATACGTGTAACACAATGTAAAACATACAATAATGTATTTTAATATAAAAGCAGAAATCATATTAAATGGAATGTTATTTGAATTTAAAAAATATAATTTGTTTTTACACGTTACCTACCTTCAATATTTTTTTGCACATTACATCCTTTATTAGAAATAATTCACAATTTTCTAATTCACTCATATACTTGGCAAGCGAATGTACGAACAGAGTTAGCTTGGGAAGTACTTAGACTCTCTATCAGAAGTTTATTATATATACACATCTCTTTTATCGTTATACTGGATCTAGCATCTATGTTATATGTAATATGTATAAAGTGAGAGGCTTTGCGAAAGATATGATATTCTTTGTACTTCCGATGAAAATGAAAATATATAAATATTTTATTCAACCGGAAAAAATATACGTGACCGTAAAAGAGGACGTCCCTCGAAGTAGGAAAACTCTTATAATTACGGCTACTACATTATTCGTAAGGAAAAAACATATGGCCCATAACAAATAATTAAGCGACATATTGATTTTTTAACAACTGTAATTGATGGTACTGCGATTGACAAAACGTTGAAGAATATAAAACTGTACATAGTCCATCGCAAAACGAACTCGGTTACATTTAAATGAAATTTAATGACTCGATAATAAAATAACACATCACATCAGTGTTAGTATCCGTTAATCTTATTATTACTAACTAAAATTCGAGGAAGATTTTTTTTCCAAAAAAGATACGCAGTAAATATTTATAAATTACTATTTTAGTTATATTGACACAAATAATAAACTGTACTATAAATAAATAAAGTCATCCGATTCGTAATCCGTAATATCATTGTAAGCAATTTGAAAGTTAAATATAGAAAATTCAAATATAGAAAATTAAATATAGAAAATTCATTGCAAGCGGACAGTCGCATTGAGTATTCAATTGTATGATTTAATCATTCATTTGTAGCATATTAATTAAAATATAATCTATTTTATAAATAATTATACTACATAAATACTGAACTAAATTCAATTTTTCTCAAACTTAATATATATTCGGATTTAATTAATATATTTCAGAAAATATAATGTTCAAAATGTTTTAAACCACATTTTTAGGTACTTTACATATAGAAAGAAGTTATACTTTTGTACAACATTTGATTAATTGTTTGGAAAGAGATCCAATCATGCAAATACTTTCTTTAAATTTTTTTATATATACCATTGGCGGTTTATGGCGACCTGCTGAGTGGTCATCAAATGGTGCCAAGCTGCTGTATAACATGTATACCTTTATGGTAATACTCTCGGAGTACTTTTTGATGTTAACTCAATTTATGGATATAATTTTTGTTGTCGATAATGTCGATGATTTTGCTACTAATACTCTAATGTTTTTGAGTATTGTTGCCGTTTGTTGTAAAACTACTGTTATTGTGGTACGTCGGAATGCGATCATTAACTTAGTGCAAGTATTGCTGAAAGTACCATACAAACCTCAAGACGAAGATGAAATAGCAATACAAGCAAAATTTGATAAATTCATTAGGTGAGTTCATATCTTTATTAAAATGTCCTGCACAAATTTAATTTCATGCGTTTAACACATTTACTATTATTATATTGCCCAAAATCAGCACTGCTTATTTATATAACAAATTATGAGCTTTACCTTTTACTATGTCTTGTTGATCATATATTTCAGAATATTCTAATATTTTTTACATAAAAAAATATAATAATTTTCTATTCTCTGTCTAATTAATCAATTTTTAGTTCAAGAAGTTTCTTATTTTAATATCATTTTAAATGACAGTAATAATTCGCGCAATACATATATACAAAATAATTTAAATATTATATAATACAGTAATTATAAATCTTATGATTATAAATTTCATTATATTAAAAGCATAAACGTTATGCAAGGCCACCTGCCTTATCGAATATGGCTG